AAATGTGGAGATATGTAATGGGGAGGTGAAATATGTGGAAATATGGTAATTTGGAAACATGAAAATACCATGAAACATCAGATTGTGGATGTGTAAAAATATGGAAATACTGGAATGTGGATGTGTGGAATGTTGGAATGTGGGTGTGTAGGAATATGGAAATTGGAATGTGGGTGTGTAAGAATATGGAAATACTGGAATGTGGATGTGTAGAAAAGTGGAAATATTGGAATATGGATTATGTGAATATGGAAATATTGGAATTTGGATGTGTAGGAATGAGGAAATATTGGAATGCGGAAATATTGGAATGTGGGAATGTATTGTACATTGTAATGATTTTGCCAAATTTACTCACTCAATCACTCAACTGGTTTCATGTGTGATTTCAGTCTTTGGATAGAAGATCTGTATAAGATTGTAGGTTGATGCCTGACATTGGTGTGCATAGATGCAAATTCAAATCAGGATCTTTTAGTGTTTGAAACCAACATGTTATTATCATACTTTGCACTCATGGTGTATCAGCATCATTGCCCTTGATAGTTCATTGCCAGGAGAGATTGTAGGTTGATACTGGTATTGCTGAGTGTATACCGACCCAGTGGGTGTAGTGTAGTGACGGACCCAGTGGTTGTAGTGTTGCGACGGACCCAGTGGTTGTAGTGTAGCGACGGACCCAGTGGTTGTAGTGTGGCGATGGACCCAGTGGTTGTAGTGTGGTGACGGACCCAGTGGTTGTAGTGTGGCGACGGACCCAGTGGTTGTAGTGTGGCGACGGACCCAGTGGTTGTAGTGTGGTGACGGACCCAGTGGTTGTAGTGTGGCGTGGACCCAGTGGTTGTAGTGGCGATTAATGTAGTAGCAGCGGACCCAGTGGTTGTAGTGCAGTGGTGCGGACCCAGTGGTTTGTAGTGTGGCGATGGACCCAGTGGTTGTAGTGTGGCGGCCGGACCCAGTGGTTGTAGTGTGGCGGCGGACCCAGTGGTTGTAGTGCGGCTGATGGACCCAGTGGTTGTAGTGTGTGGCTGACGGACCCAGTGGTTGTAGTGTAGCGACGGACCCAGTGGTTGTAGTGTGGTCGACGGACCCAGTGGTTGTAGTGTGGCGACGGACCCAGTGGTTGTAGTGTAGCGACGGACCCAGTGGTTGTAGTGTGGCGACGGACCCAGCGATGGACCCAGTGGTTGTAGTGCAGCGATGGACCCAGTGGTTGTAGTGACGTGCCGAGGGACCCAGTGGTTGTAGTGTAGCGATGGACCCAGTGGTTGTAGTGTAGCGATGGACCCAGTGGTTGTAGTGTAGCGACGGACCCAGTGGTTGTAGTGTAGCGATGGACCCAGTGGTTGTAGTGTAGCGATGGACCCAGTGGTTGTAGTGTAGCGATGGACCCAGTGGTTGTAGTGCTGGCGATGGACCCAGTGGTTGGTTGTCGACCCAGTGGTTGTATGGGACCCAGTGGTTGTGACGGACCCAGTGGTTGTAGTGTGGTGACGGACCCAGTGGTTGTAGTGCAGCGACGGACCCAGTGGTTGTAGTGCAGCATGATGGACCCAGTGGTTGGTTGTAGTGTGCAGTGACGGACCCAGTGGTTGTAGTGCGGCGACGGACCCAGTGGTTGTAGTGAAGCGATGGACCCAGTGGTTGTAGTGTAGTGATGGACCCAGTGGTTGTAGTGTAGTGACGGACACAGTGGTTGTAGTGTAGTGACGGACCCAGTGGTTGTAGTGTGGCGACGGACCCAGTGGTTGTAGTGTGGCGACGAACCCAGTGGTTGTAGTGAAGCGATGGACCCAGTGGTTGTAGTGTGGCGACGGACCCAGTGGTTGTAGTGCAGTGACGGACCCAGTGGTTGTAGTGTGGCAGCCGGACCCAGTGGTTGTAGTGAAGCCGGCGGACCCAGTGGTTTGTAGTGTAGCCGACGGACCCAGTGGTTGTAGTGAAGCCGACGGACCCAGTGGTTGTAGTGCGGCGATGGACCCAGTGGTTGTAGTGTAGCCGATGGACCCAGTGGTTGTAGTGTAAGCTGATGGACCCAGTGGTTGTAGTGATGGACCCAGTGGCTGTATGGACCCAGTGGTTGTAGTGCTACGACATGGACCCAGTGGTTGTAGCGGAGCGTGACGACCCAGTGGTTGTAGTGCAGCGACGACCCCAGTGGCTTCCAGCATGGTTGGCAGTGTGGCTGTACCGGACCCAGTGGTTGTGGTGTAGCGAATTTGACCCTAGTGGATTTTGTAGTGTGTGGCTTAATGACCCAGTGGTTGTGGTATTACCGAACGACCTAGTGGTTTGCAGTTTGGCAACGGACCTAGTGGTTGTGTGTTTAATGACCCAGTGGTTGTAGTGTGGCTTACGCAACCCAATGGTTGTAGTGCTTAACGACCCAGTGGTTGTAGCGCGGTGACGACCCAGTAGTTGTAGTGCAGCGACGCGATGGACCCAGTGGTTGTAGTGTAGCGACGGACCCAGTGGTGTGTAGTGCAGCAAGTGTGTCGCGTGTGTTGAGTGACACCCCATCAGTCAAGTCAAGCTGGTCATTAGGCCCAGTTAACCATCCTACTGTCAGTCCCTAGATTAGCTGCCAATTAACTGTCTCCTGCAGTCAGTTGTGTCCAGTACAAGATACAAAGTTATTCCTTAAAGTGAACAGTAGAAGGCGTCATGGTTTGTCTTTGATTCTGATTGGCTTGTATGGACATCATGATGTCATAACATTTGTGATAGTGCCGTCACTGAGCAATTGACCCTGTTCCCCAAGTTACCATCTGTGAATACAGTGGTGAAAAGACATTATTGTTTGAAGGCCTACCTGAGATTAGTCCTTGAAGTCATGCATAGTAAAACCAGCAAGTAGAAAAACCCATAATATCAGAAAACATATTACTAATGGTCAAATATGAACATCACTGGTGGATTGGGAGAACGTGTAAAAATTGCTGACGGACAAATTCATGGGGTAATCTAAATACCCATATATAGATAATGATAGCAGCTGAAATATAGGTCCCCAGTACAGTGTTTTCTCTGCATGTGTGCCCCTTGATATAGAGAGGGTCGCAGAACACTTTGTTGCTGAAGGATCAGTGGTTGCGATATATGACCTGGCTGATTGTGTGTACACATGCCCCAACAGAACAATTAACTGCACAATCTATCAAAGTCTGGCCGACCAAGCCCCGATTATTTCTGGCTGCCGTGATATTGCTGTGATATTTCTATCTGTGGGGTAAAACACAATTCACCCATTCATTCCTCATGTGCTTCATGATTGAAACCATTGCCTTCCAATCTTGTTGAGATCAATTTTGGCTTCAGGCTTGTGAAGAAACCGACAGACTTCTTATACCCATTCCAAGCAGGCTGAGACTGAGCCATGCAGACTGTTTTGTGGAAATGTTTGTGTTACATCAGTGACATTGTCAAGCAAGGCAGCTTCACTTTCCTCTTGATAGATTAGACAAATTGTTGGTGGCAATTAACTCATGAAAATACTTTCCTAAAAACCACTTTCAACAGGAGTATTTTTAACAGGTAATGACCCATGGCAGAAGATTGCATGTGGTTTCTAATAGGGTTGTTTTTTAAATATCTATTTTGGGTATCTTTATTGTGATTTTGAACATGTGGAGATTTCATTTCTTTCAATAAGATATTTGAACTCAGTGCTTTCTGAAGACTTACTGTCTGGCGAATGTGGAGTAATTTGATTTCTATCTTCGAAAATATATTTTTATGTTCTGCTTTTTAAAAGTGACATGAAGGAAGAGCTTTTCTTCCTCTTCTTGGAATTAGGTTTGTAATGATGTATTGAACAAAGCTGGCTTTTATAAACAAAGAAATGAAGATAGAAGATTTGTGTATGCTGACTTTGCGGCATTGTGGCGCCCATTTTGTTTGCGTATTTGTGGTTCCATTGTTTTGGGGCTTGTGTTGGGAGAGTTTTGATTGTTTGGAACTAATGAGAGTTGATCATTTTGTGATTAACCAGTTCACACGTGACATGAATAACACACCATAGCTTCTGAAAATTAGTAGTTCTTCGCGTCTAGGAGAAGCCAGATTGATTATGATCATGTTCTTCATGACAACACACACAGTGAAGCTGGGAAGTTTGATACCATTTTACAAAACTACAAATAATAACCAGCATGTAATAAAAGATAGCTAACAGACATGCTGGTAAAACTCCTGGGTGTACAGTACCAATGGATAAGCAGTAAGCCCAATAGTGCTGCATTATGGGAGTTGGGATCAAAGTCATGTGACTTTAATTTATGCATAAGTTCACAGAGTGCCAAGACCAAGGTCACAAAGAAGAGAGTGTTTTATAGATGTCAACTTGTTTATTATGAAGGAGTAAGGATATACTCCAAAATGTTGTGTTCCTCAATTGACATCCCATAAACTCTCTTCCTTATATGTATCACTTCTAAATAGTGCCATTTCTGGTGGGTAACCTGTAATTTATGTAAGTTCACTGAGCGAAAGTTCACATGACTCTTTAGTTTGGTATCGTGCTTGTATGTTACAAGGGCCATATTAATCAGGCCCTCATAATTAAACACGAAGACCCGGGTTCGAATCCCCACATGGGTACAATGTGTGAAGCCCATTTCTGGTGTCCCCTGCCAGTTGCTGATGTTGCTGGAATATTGCTGCTAAAGGAACGGGTTCGAAAGCGGCATAAAACCAAACTCTGTCAGTCAGTCTAGTGGAAAACCAGAAAGTTCAGATTGTTGTAATTATAAGAGACAAGCGGATGAATGGTGCTGTTGGTGTGACCTGACTGGATGCCATTCGATCCTGAAGACATTAACAATGTCTGATGATATCAATCACTCCATTGTCTGGTCCACATGCCTATATTTACACACCCATGTCATACAGCTAGAACATTGCTGAGTGTGGCATTTCCTAAACATCTAGGGGAAATGAGATGTTCTAGTTCCATTGCATGATTCATGGATTTTCTGCTCATATAGTGTTTTTGATTGCAGTCACAAGCTTGAGGTGCTGTTGGATGACGACAGGACCACGCGGCGGAACCGTGACCGACACTATCTCAGCCAAGTCATCACGTGAGTTTATCGTTTGTTCCTTAAACATAACACAGATTATATTCCTACTTTTTGAAGAGTGTGGGCTGGTATATGATGGATGAGCGTTTGATTGTTAATGTGTGAAGCGTTCTGGAAATAACTAGAGAGTTCAATGTTTATCATTGTGCTAAATAGCATTCATAATATAATTTGATGTAGGTATGCATTTTTAAGACCTTGAATTTGCTTAAAGGGCTGCACTGTCCCTCTGTGTTGCACTGTACAAAGGTTGGGTCAAACGCTGCAGACCTGGAGTCTGATCTAATAGGGTCTCGTTGGGCAAGTGTAACACAAGAAGAAGTTTCACATGCGTGCAAGATATGTCTTAATGTTTTTGTAACAGTTTAAAGTGAAATGCAGTGAAATTCTGCTTAGGATAAAATCACACTGTACCACTCATCTTGAGGTGTAAAACAATACATGAGCGAAAATAGAATCTTTTTCACTCCTTATTGTCTGGGTTTTTAGCAAATATTTTGATATGACATGAAACTGTGGATTTTTGACAGACGGGCTGTTTGTGTTAATATAATATAGCTTTAGTTAATTTCCACACACCCCGTAGTTGTTTCGCAAGCAATGCCGAAGGGAGTTAGATGTGTAGGTTACAACAGATACGAATGTACCTTCCCCTATAGTGGGGGCGGTGGGGTAGCCTAGTGGTTAAAGCGTTCGCTCGTCACGTCAAAGGCCCGGGTTCGATTCCCAACATGGGTACAACTTGTGAAGCCCATTTCTGGTGTTCCCCCGCCGTGATATTGCTGGAATATTGCTAAAAGCGGCGTAAAACCATACTCAGTCAGTCCCCTATAGTGACGTACCCTCATCAAATTAGAAGTATAATAAAACCTAGCAATAGAGGGCACTGGAGTTATGGTGAGTCTATTCCCATATGGCATCAGCTGATCCTTGCATGATCAAGGGATGTGACTCTGTACAACAAAGTACTCAACATTAGACAACTGGGTCACCTGTTTCTATGGTATTACTGCGAATGTGGTCAAAGTATTGCTGGAAATGGTGTAATACCCTTTGATGAAAAACACTTTTGTTCAGAACGCTGGGTGATTTCACAGCTCAGACGGCTCAGGGGAACGCAGTAGACACCAAGGTTGAGTTGAACGCCTGAAACATATCTCTGGAGATCATAATGCCACCTTATATCCGAAAGTTCATCAAATTATTTCTCTGTGAGCACTTTCCCACCCACGGAGCTCCATATTTGTAAATTCCATGAAAGAGCGGAACCTTTGTCCTGCAGTCTGTTGGGATAGCGGGGATAATTTTGTAATGGAGAAGCTGATTAAGAACATGAAACAATTGCGGCTTTGTGATTCCGGCTTTATGAGGTATATCTGGGGAGCGTTGTCTTGGAAGTAATACAAGTTATTGTCATCTGTCTAGAACCAGCTTGTATGAAGAATGTCTGGGAGTGTGGATGATATTATGAGTTATTACCATCTGTGTGTTGTGCTGAGATGGAACCAGTGTGTATAAGGAGAGTGTGCAAATATGGAAGATATTGTGAGTTATTACCATCGGTGTGTTGTGCTGAGATGGAACCAGTGTGTATAAGGAGAGTGTGCAAATATGGAAGATATTGTGAGTTATTACCATCGGTGTGTTGTGCTGAGATGGAATCAGTGTGTATAAGGAGAGTGTGCAAATATGGAAGATATTGTGAGTTATTACCATCTGTGTGTTGTGCTGAGATGGAATCAGTGTGTATAAGGAGAGTGTGCAAATATGGAAGATATTGTGAGTTATTACCATCTGTGTGTTGTGCTGAGATGGAACCAGTGTGTATAAGGAGAGTGTGCGAATATGGAAGATATTGTGAGTTATTACCATCTGTGTGTTGTTATTACCATCTGTGTGTTGTGCTGAGATGGAATCTGAGATGGAATCAGTGTGTATAAGGAGAGTGTGCAAATATGGAAGATATTGTGAGTTATTACCATCTGTGTGTTGTGCTGAGATGGAACCAGTGTGTATAAGGAGAGTGTGCGAATATGGAAGATATTGTGAGTTATTACCATCTGTGTGTTGTGCTGAGATGGAACCAGTGTGTATAAGGAGAGTGTGCGAATATGGAAGATATTGTGAGTTATTACCATCTGTGTGATAATTAAAGTAGAACCAGTTTGTATGAGGAGAGTACGGGAGTGTAATGATTTGACAATACAACCTCTGCCCTTGTTAAATATACAGGTAAGAACATCCTCTCCTGAAAACACTTACAGATTGTAGAGTAAAGAAATATCCCAACAATGTCCAAGGGGTAGCTCTAGCTCGTTTTGTTAAACGCTGCACTTGTCAATGTTCCAAGTATTAGATAGCATCAGGAAATATAATCTGGACCAGATGAATCGGTGAAGGATGATATGAGCAATATCACACGTTATCAGCATGATAGCATACCATCGACTAAACTTGAGGCTGACCTCGCAATCCATCAAGTCATTTTGTATGACAAACAGAACAAACTTTGGTTTGCTGTGGACCAATTCTTGCCAAGAATAATCCCTGCAGAGCTGTTGGTGTGGAATGAAAGTTTTAATTTCATTCTTGTTGTGTTTGGGCTTTTTTGTTTATTGCTGTGTGCTGCAATATTCCAGCCACATGATGGTGATTTGGAAATAACCAAGTTCAAGACCAGATTGACATCAATGAACATCAGCCTTATGTTCAGTGACATGCATTGAGCCAGCCTCCTGATCACGTTAGTCGTGACTTATGACAAGCATGTGTTTCTGAAGACCAGTTCAGAGCCTTATAACATAATCCTTATCGGGATGTTCATGTAGATTCAGACATGCATTCCAGCTTCTGGTCATCTTGACATGAATGAATGTTGCTGACTAGCATAAACCTATCTGCTTACCTCTATACAGGAGGGCAGTGGGGTAGCCTAGTGGTTAAAGCGTTGGCTCGTCACGCCGAAGACCCGGGTTCGATTCCCCACATGGGCACAATGTGTGAAGCCCATTTCTGGTGTCCCCCGCCATGATATTGCTGGAATATTGCTAAAAGCGGCGTAAAACCAAACTCAGTCAGTCAGTCTATACAGGATCTAAGATGAATAAATCACGAGTTGATTATCCACTGACTTATTTCATCATCAAGGATAATAGCATGAAATAAAATCAGAACATAAAGTAAATTTGAATTCGTAATGAAGACAATACCTTTTAGCCCTTTTAGTCGTCTGTGCCTGTATTCTCACTCGCATTGCAAGAACCACGTTATTTTCCCCTCTACCCAGCCTTCCCTGCAATGCTAAAGAGGTAAATGAAGCAAGTCTATTCTCAGGTTCAGGTTCTGAATACCCCATCTCACTGGGGCTCCTTTTCAATTTAAAAGAAATTATTTGTTTCTATCAAAATTATGTTTATTCAGAAACTATGCAATAGTCAAATAAGATAGCAGAAAATGGTATTTTACAAAATCATTCTTGCACCATTTCTGTCACCTTTTCTGAAAGTATGTTGTTTTAATCTATGTAACCTCATTGTGTCAGTATTGTGATGTATCAAATGTTTGAAATGCTGACAGAAAATACTATTTTATAATCATTCTTCATGCATCTTTGATGTTTTCTTTTTATTTGTTGGATATATTTGATTGCTTCATGACCTGATATTGTCTGTATCAGATTGGATCAAATGTTTGATGAATTGCCATCACACAGATGTCTCTTCCACAAACAGATCCTCTTCCATTAATATGGACAGTGTATTTTCATAGTCGCCAGTTGCTATTCCCCAGAATCCAGGTCGAATAAGGATCGAAGCATATCCATTCCTCTCCCCTAATACTGAGATATGTTCATTTGTCACTCTGCTGCATGTTTAATTCCTGCTGAGTCGTCCAGCAGGTGGCGCTGTTGCAGGAATTACACGAGCCTTTCCCTTTTGCCAGAATCACGTAGGAGTTAGCCTGGCGCCAGACAGTCTAGGGATAATTTGTAAGAATAGATCAAAACCCATAAAAATCAATTTCCAACTTGCTCCGTTAATTCGGGGCGGAAATCACTCTATCTAAAACAATGCTAATGCTGTCTGATACAAAAAACAGTTAATAGTGATGAAATTGCTTTTCTGTGCTTGGTGCGACATTAAATTGGGAATAAATGGCCAGAACGATACAGGACGGTTGAGAAAACATGGATCCGGTAAACGGCCATATTGATTCGCGGTCTTTAAAATCAGTTCTCAAACTTTGCATCCCATCTTGATAGCTGGATATGGAGTTTATAGCGATGGAAGTGATGATATTTGGCTTGGTTTGGTTAAAACTTCAAGATAATTGCTCTAACAAAGTGATGAGGTTCAAGATTTAAGAGGTGATGTTTCAGAGCTTGGCTGAGTTGTGCATCAGTTACTCCAGCAAAGATTAATAGAAGAGGATCAGAAAAAATAATATTGAAATTAAATTTTTTATCAATATTTGAAAATACATTCAAGTTTATGTACTGATCATAGAAATCATTTTATTATCCAGTTTTAATGAAACTATTTAAAGTTGATGCTGTGTCCGGCATGTTTTTGGTTGGACAACCCTGGCACCATTCCTGGAGTCTGTTGTGGCGCTAAGGGGCTTGTAACATAGTGCCACCATCGCTTCATGAAACGAGGGCCCAGTTGGATACCTAATTTTTTTTGTGAAAGCCTGACCATTACTTAACAGTTGATGTCACACAACTGGGTAGATGTTCTAATCAGTTATTGACCACAAGGGCCGGGTGTTTTTGTGTGTCATTTTAAAATCACATTTCTATAAGTTCACTTGTGTTGTGTATAGCAGAGATGCCAACCTCTACGATTTATCGTAGTCGCTACAAATTTTAGCCTCAAACTATGCCAATATGATTGCATTAGAAATTCTATGAAATTTGAAGAAAATTAATTAAAATTTGGATATATAGACAAAAACATATATTTTCGTTGATTAAGGACATTTTTGCCAAAGAAGAAATGTAATGCTGATAATTTGGAAATCTGCTGCTGGAGGTATCTGAAATTAAAAGTTCACTCTTGATCAGTGTCAAGGAGCACCTTTAGAATACAGCACCACAACTTCTCGTGAGGACGATCTCTGCCGTAGGTCACATGTCATTAAGACAAGCAACCAGTTTGTGAGAACCCGTCGGACGCGAACCCGCGACCTTCGGATTGTTAGCTCGACAGCTAACCGACTGAGCTACGTCCACACTGTTGCACAATGTGCAAAATTGTCGAGTCATTCCTGTGACGTCACGGAAATGAGCGGAAAGAGTCGAATAGGTCACGGACAATTCACTTAATGCTACGGGTAGACTTGGTGTCGCGTGATTTTATTCTTCGGACAATTGCCGAATGGATCCGATGCCATTTGGCACACTCGTCCCCATTCCGTAATCTACAAATTAACGTGTGGCGTGGAATGAGCCGATATGCCTCAAACTGAAAAGGGTTGTTGACGCGTCAGGCGTCAGGCGTAGATTTCCACGGTGCATGCATGAATGGACAGCGCTTTTATATAAATCGGTGATTTTGTGACAGAAAAGTGATGTAGGGAACACTGTAAGGATAATGTGGATCGCACTAAGAAAGCGAGGGAGACATGAGCATGTGTAGTGACGGCACGAGGGTGAGTTAGCCTTGAATCATTACTGAACAAAATTTATGTTGCGTGTGAAAGAGGCTTGAGGTGCAAAAATTCCAGGCCAATTTCCATTAGCCCAAAATTTCTACATTAACCCATTTCATAATGTACTTTCGACGTTTTTGGTTTCCCGTTTTTGTGTGAAAAAAAGTATTAAAATGCAAAAAAGAAAAACAACAAATGGTACTCACGTATTACACCGGACATGTACCTGCTATATTGGATTAAGTCCCTAACCCTAACCCCTAAACCCTCAGCCCTAACCCTAACCCTAACCCCTGAAATAATCCTAATAAATAGAATGAATTGACCGAACCACCGGACATGTACCTACTATATTGCATTAGGTCCCCAACCCCAACCCCAACCCTAACCCTAACCCCTAGCCCTAGCCCTAGCCTTAACCCTAACCCTAACCCCTAAGCCCTAGCCCTAGCCCTAGCCCTAACCCTAACCCCAATCCCTTGAATTAATCCTAATAAATAGAATGCATTGACCGAACCGGCACAAACACGACTGACTAGTGTAATGCATTATTACCGCTTCGAAAAATAAAATACTAATAAAACACTTTTCTATGTAATGGTGCAAATTACTGAATGACAAAAATATATATGTAAATTAAAAAATTACAAAATACAAAATACACAAAACATAACACCTCAGCAGCCCGTAATACAAATAAATATGAGCGTATTAGTGAAAAAAGAAAAATATTTCAAACTGGTGCTTGCAAAATATTGCGCATCACCCGGTATACAACTACTGGAAACTCTCAACATCGTTGGGCTTATGCAATGACATAGCTGTGTAGAGATGAAACACCAGTGTGAGCGGAGCTTATAACACTCGCTGAGCCAGACAACCCGTGTTGCCATGCAGGCGTCATAGGGCATTGTATCGGAGAACGTGCTTTTCAACAAAATCACATTACATTACGTAAAAAGGGTATTATGACGTATTTTTAAAGTTTGTGGTGCTGTATTCTAAAGGTAGGCCCAGTGTCAAATTATATTTCTCAGAATCCATCATAATTTTAAGTATTTAGTTGACTACTAAATTTATGGTGAAACTGCTAATTTTTTATCCTTGAAACTACTATTTGCAACACTGAGTATAGTCATCTGTGGTGCAGTCTTGTCAACTTGAATCACTCTTTGTTTGGGGCTTCATACATGTGTTGTTAGCTCTGAGGGAGATTTTTAATGTATTAGTTATTTTGTCACATATAGCACAGAGATTACCATCTATCATTGTCTGTGTGTAAATCAAGCTTTGTTTCTTCTATGTGTCATAGACCTGTGAAGATCCGGGTTAGAATTGATCTTCAGTAACCCATGCTTGTCCTAAGAGGCGCCTAACAGAATCTGGTGGTCAGGCTCGCTGACTTGGTTGACACATGTCATCGGTTCCCAATTGCGTAGATCGATGCTCATGCTGTTGATCCCTGGATTGCCTGGTCCAGATCCGATTATTTACAGACCTCCGCCATATAGCTGAAATATTACTGAGTGTGACGTCAAACAAAACTCGCTCACTCACTCTATGTGTCATAGAGAGTTTCTGCTCATTTTGGGGAGGTGGGTAGCCTAATGGTTAAAGCATTAACTTGTCACACCGAAGGCCTGGGTTTGACTCTCTCCGGGGTACAATGTGTGAAGCCCATTTCTGGCATCCCCGATATTATATTGCTAGAATATTTCTCAAATGGGCTTAACATCATGCTTAATCTGCTCATTTTGGAGGCAGTGTAAAACAAAAACGTAAAGTGACGAATCATTTATCAGTTGGTTACAGGGTAGGGCCCTGAAATGGAGTCTTATTCCATTATGGTGTTATTCTCTTGCATCATTCACAGTAGCTCTGACGTCCCAGAGCAGGAGACTGGAAGGCTTGCACGGTTCACTGCTCTGATGATCTCACTCAAGATCCTGTCGGTTGGATCGGTACAAATGATCAGTTTGTTTCCATAGCAATCGTACATACGAAACCCAACATTTGGACATTGGTTCTCGGTGTATGCTATAATTAGATATTTGGTGTGTGGTTACAGTGCTGTAGGTTGAACCTTAATGCAATTTTTGTTATTTAACTCCTAGAATTGAGATCAATAAGATCTGAGAGAGAAGTGTTTATGTGTATAGAGGTAGAGGAGTGAAGGCAAGGGAGGAAGGGAGGGGGTGTTCTCATCGGTGTGAGGGTAGTTGTTTCTTCTTGGCTGAAGTACAGGTCATGGGTTACTTTTCCACATTTCGGTTCATCAACAACATCCCAATTGTTGGTTTCTCATAGTTGAAGGGGCGGTGGAGTAGCCTAGTGGTTAAAGTGTTCGCTCATCACGCTGAAGACATGGGTTCGATTCCCCACATGGGTACAATGTGTGAAGCTCATTTCTGGTGTCCCCTGCCGTGATATTGCTGGAATATTGCTAAAAGTGGCATAAAACTCAACTCACTCACTCTTCACTTTGGGCTATCCTCCATTATAAGGTGACACACTGTCACTACACTCAATGCTGTGAAACACGAAAGTTATTGACTTCAATTGGTTGACCGTTATGCGGAGACAGCACCTTAGCAATGACTCACTGATTGTGTGTCTGGCCTAGAATTTCCTGACTTCTCTTTATTTAGACAGAATTCAATAAGAGCCAATGCATGTTGAACTGTTTGGTTTCATGAAATAGTTCAGTCTTGAGAATAAGAACTATTTATGGTCTGTATTTCATTCACTGACAATAAGGTCTGAAAACTATTTTGATAACCACATATAAATAGGCTAATGCAAGGGAGATAACTCAGTGTAACATTTATGAATGTTCAATTTCTCCAGACATTTTCAAGAATGAAATTGATGTTCAAATCCTCATTCCAATGTATTTTGTGTCTTTTGTGTTTTTCATTTTAATGTAAAAATAATTGAAACTTAAACAAAATTTAAATGCTCTGTCTGATTGAATTAGTTCTAAAAGTAATTTATTGGAAGAATTCTTCATCTTCATTCTTCTGTTTTAGAATCTTTGGTTTTGAATTAACGAACACAGCATATGGCCCACCAAAACCTTTAAAATAAACTGAATATTTAAAAGTAATGGAGAATCAGATAATGGATTAGGTTTGAACATGGATTGCACAGTAATTGTTTTATGTGAAATGAACTTTCATTCTCTTAAACTGTTAATTCAATATTTCAGAATACAGCGTGCATGGAAGGGACATTTACGTAATAAGCATGAAAACAAGAAGAAGTTAGATCGTAGCTTGCCGGAAGAAGATGTGACATCTAGTTCCGAGTCTGACGAAGATGAATATAGCGAGACCGAGAGCGCCATCTGTGGGCAAGTGATGACGCTGTCGACACCCGAAGAAAACCAGCATCAGGAAGATAATGAAAGGGAGGCTACTCTCACTGTTGGCAGTTTCTTGGGAAAAAAATCACCAGTGAGACAACTGCGCGATATTGAGTGCGAGTCTGTTTTGTCGGATGTATCAGAAATTGCAGGTCCATTGAAGGATATTGAAAGCGAGGTTCAGATTATTGAGCGAGAGGAATTGCAGCGGGGTAATTTCTCATTTCTACCCGGCCATAACCAGAAGGAAATTGATCGTTTACCTGGTGAAACCGATTCCGATTACTGCAAACGAGCTCGCAAAATAAATATTTTGAGTCTTGCTCAAGAATTTGCCGAACTGAAAAAGATTAATGCCGATGCGTTGCCATTCGACCTTCACAAGGGGAGAGAATTTGTGAAAGAAAGTAGTCCTGAGAGTGATGCAAGCTCAGGTATTGGGGCAGAGGAATCTCTGACCGAATCAGCCATGACAAGTCCAGCTGATGCGAAACGGGATTTAATAGATGGGGAGGGTGGTAAGAGTGGATTGACAGTGAAATCACGGAAGCATCGTGTGAAAGACAGTGGTAGTAATCACAGGGTGAAAGGTGGAAGGTCGAAGAGAGATAGTTCCCCATCTGTTGGTAGTGATATGGAGAAGAGTGGGGACTTTGACGTGTACAACATGGAGTCGACGTTGCCGCAGATGGACTGGGAGACGTTGGAGCAGCAACTGCAGCTCGCGGCACAAGAGGAGAAGAATCGGTCACAGGTAAGGGAGATTGACTGATCATGTGTGCTGTTACATGCAAACATTCATTTCAGAAGCAATATGGCATGTGTCAGATTTGCATGCAGAGTTATCTCCCATTGTTGGGACAGGATGCACATGTTTCAGACATTGTGTTGGTTTTTTCAGTTTCAGTTGATCATGATGTGTCATGTTTTATATTGGAGGTAAGTCCACACTGAAAGAAGCAACCGACCTTTGTGTGTCACAGGTTTGGTGCTGACTGACCATAATAGGAGCTGATCCTGGATTTGAACTCACAACCAGTGAATAATGACAGCTGAAGGAGGCATTGTGGGGCCTAAAACCAGTGGGCCACCTTGCCCAAGCCTCATTTTATGCAAATTCTCTTTGTCATTGATGCCAGGGTAGAGTTACCTCCCCTTCATATGATGCCATGGAATGTCATATTTTTTCCAATATATTATTATGATTGCTATGAAGGTCATGATGGGGCATACAGCTAAAACAAGCTATTCTAAACATGTGATAAATAAAAATTGATTTCTTGTAAAAGATTATCAAATTTTTAAATAAAAATCTGCTTGGCGTAAATTATAACTTTACTGTATAGGGTAATCGAGGTAGTCTTTCATTAAAGTTGTATATAACTAGATCTAATGAAATAACAGAACCAGTCTATTAGTGATTGGTATTTGCACAAATTACAGTTACAACACAAAACCAGAAACAGCACAATGTCGTGCAATATGCCCACACTGTTGACTAAATTGCTTGACTAATAGACCACCTCAGTGGATACCAATGATGTAAATAGATGTTACTCTGCATCGTGTGTTGGCATTAAGGAGCTAAAACAAATACCTTCTTTATAAATCATGTAATAGCATGACTAACACTTTGTGTAATGCAGTTGCATATTCTCTTGGATGCTGGACATTTTTAATCTTTTCTTAAGGCCAGACCAATTATATTTCTTGTTTTACAGATTTTTGTCCTCAGAAAACCTAAAGGCAGGATGAAAATGAAAAAAAATAAAAGTTAAATCACCAGTCAATGAAATATTCCTTCTAAGTATTAAAAGTATTTTACTTTTGGCATTTTATTAAGTGTATATGGGGCAAAACACAATCAAAAAAACATTTTCTTGTAAGTTTACATTTTGGCCAATAAAAACATTAGGATTTTATTTTTTGAGTGGGAAAAATTAATTTTTATTTTTTTTCGTATTCTTGAAAAAATACGACCAGCAAAATAAAACAAGAAATAAGATTAGTCTGGCCTAATGATAATATTTCATGATGTCTATTTTACAAAGGTATTTCCTCCATAATCACTGACTAAGCTGGGTTTTTTTGTATCTTAGAAAGGAATTAGGGATTTTATCTTTCACTAGCTACCAGCTATTGTTTAAGAGTTGTCTCCCCTGTTTATTCATAGTAAATCATGCACTAAAATATAGTTTTTCATTATTGAATTGTTCTCACACTCGGCATCACATATGATGTAAATCACTGGATTTCTTGTCCAGACTAAATTATTTACACACCTCCTTCATGCAGCTGGAATAGTGCTTCACTTCAGGCTCGGTATCATGCTTCACAGAAATTCTGCAGTGAGAGAAGGGTTTGGAAATCTCCCATGGTGACAAAATGAGCTTCATATTGGAAGGGAAGTAACTTTGGGTGTCATTTCCCAGTTTATCTGCAAAGTGGAAGGGAAGTAACTCTTGATGTCATTTTGTTCAGCCAGCCCTTGAGGCAAGACAAGCAAGAGTCGATGTACTGCTGCCCTTTATAAAATGAATAGACCGTGTTCAAAAACAGCTGTAATGTTTGTCTTGGCTGGGATAAGGCATTACAAGGCTAATAGTGACTTCATGAACTATCACAGCTCCATTGATTTTCTACATATCATGTAGTTTGAAGAATAAGCCGAGTGTGGGTGTTAGTCAGTTGGTTCCATGTTGTAAGGCAGGTAACTCTGAATATCATACCCAACTGTGTAGTGCGGCTTCATGCAGTAAGTGTGTGTTTATTGATTGTCTCAGTTAGCAACAACAGGTTTCCTTCACCATTGCTCAGTGTGTCCTCGTCACAAAGAAATCATGTGCAAAATTATATCTTGTTGGGGTGCACATCAATCAATCATTAAAGTCGAGAACATTAAACTGGCTCAGAACTATCAGGTGGTATTTATCCTCCTTCCAGCACTATCCGTACAACAGGAATTTGAATGCATCACATGAAATTAATTTTGACGTTCTGAAATTTCTTAGCGGTTATGTGGTTTTAATTTTCTGTTGCAGTGTTGTGTACATGATTCGCTCTGATACTGTGTCTTCTCTGATTGTTTACAAGCCAACACTTTCATATCGATTACTTGTTTACAAGCCAACACTTTCATATCGATTACTTGTTTTTTGTTAAAGAAAGTTCACGGATGGTTTATTTGACTTTTAGTTTTTTAGCAAATTATATTGATTAGGAGTTCTCTCTTGAATTGATGGATTAACATTTTCTGGAATTGCCAGAAAAGTAAATATTCACTTGCCGTTTCATTTCTCCGCCGGTAATTGAAGGTTTGTTGGGGATAATAGCATTAGGTCTTGTCCGCATGGAATCGTTAACTTTAATCATACCCAGAAAAACTGGAGCAGCTGTAACATGAACCACAATCAATAGATTCGTCCCGGTCTTAAGTGTCGTACATGCGTACAAGGAAGTGAGGCTTTCAGTTTCATTCAGTTTTGGTAATAGATGATGAGAATAATATGATCAGAATCGCCACTTTGTTTATTTTTTCAAGTTCAATTCATTGCAAAAGTTGATTACAGCACTTTGGTTAGACGTTACCATGGAAACATTGGAATGGTGGAAAGAAAACATTTCTTCTCTGCTCTCTAGTACCTGATGGTTGTCATAGAGTAGGTTCCCAGAACCTGATGCTTGTCATAGAGTGGTCCCCAATACCTGATGGTTGTCATAGAGTGGTCCCCAGTACCTGATGGTTGTCAAAGAGTGGTTCCCAGTACCTGATGGTTGTCATAGAGAGGTTCCCGGTACCTGTTTGTTGTCATAGAGTGGTCCCCAGTACCTGATGGTTGTCATAGAGTGGTCCCCAGTACCTGATGGTTGTCATATAGAGGTTCCCAGTACCTGTTTGTTGTCATAGAGTGGTCCCCAGTACCTGATGGTTGTCAAAGAGTGGTTCCCAGTACCTGATGGTTGTCATAGAGAGGTTCCCAGTACCTGTTTGTAGTCATAGAGTGGTCCCCAATACCTGATGCTTGTCATAGAGTGGTCCCCAGTACCTGATGGTTGTCAAAGAGTGGTTCCCAGTACCTGTTTGTTGTCATAGAGTGGTCCCCAGTACCTGATGGTTGTCATAGAGTGGTCCCCAGTACCTGATGGTTGTCATAGAGTAGGCCCCCAGTACCTGTTTGTTGTCATAGAGTGGCTCCCAGTACCTGATGGTTGTCATAGAGAGGTCCCCAGTACCTGATGGTTGTCATAGAGTACGGTGGTCCCCAGTACCTGATGCTTGTCATAGAGTAGCCCCCAGTACCTGATGGTTGTCATAGAGTGGTCCCCAGTACCTGATGCTTGTCATAGAGTGGTCCCCAGTACCTGATGCTTGTCATATTGAGCTCACCAAGTTGTTTATGCTTGCAAATAGAGTAGGCCCCCAAATATGGCCGACAAAATGTCATCCTTGTCATGGAGTAGGTCAGCTCTATTTTGGGTTAGATGTTCATGCTCCATTACAGTCCAAGCAATGTCCGAGTATCCATGACAACATGGTGGCGTTGCTAATTCCATCAAGTGCTGTATCATCCAGACCTGATTAAAGAGTTGCAGACATAAGTGCCTCTTATAGCTGGAATAAGTCTGACAGTTATGTAAATCTGTCTGTCATCCTCAAGAAACATCTCATCCTCAATGGCCTGGAATGCTTCAGCTGTCTGTGACACAGATAGTTTCAGTAAGATGTGACACAGATAGTTTCAGTAAGATGTGACACAGATAGTTTCAGTAAGATGTGACACAGATAGTTTCAGTAAGATGTGACACAGATAGTTTCAGTAAGATGTGACACAGATAGTTTCAGTAAGATGTGACACAGATAGTTTCAGTAAGATGTGACACAGATAGTTTCAGTAAGATGTGACACAGATAGTTTCAGTAAGATGTGACACAGATAGTTTCAGTAAGATGTGACACAGATAGTTTCAGTAAGATGTGACACAGATAGTTTCAGTAAGATGTGACACAGATAGTTTCAGTAAGATGTGACACAGATTGTTTCAGTAAGATGTTGTGTAATTACCAGTAATAATAGAACAGGTAACTTTTGACATTTGCTTTAGTCTAAGACGTGAAATGTCAAATGAAATGAGAGACATAAATAACAAATTGCGAATTCTTTAACAGATATTTGGAACATATTTCATCATTTGCAAGTTGATAAAGAAAGTATACTCAGCAGCAAAATAACAACATCAGTACGAATTCAAAATTAGACAGGCACTGTAATCAAATCATTACAGAAATGGACATAATAAGTGGATCAAAAACATTTTTTGTGTACAATATCTTGACACATCAATGAATAACTCACCACAATATCAAGACATGATGTGAACGTTTGCAGTCCATTCAGACTCTTGACTTCCGTATCTAGTGTGACCACCACGAGCGGCAATAACTGCAGCACAGCGTCTATGCATGGAGTGCACCAATCGAGTGATGAAGGCCATTGGCACCTGGAACCACACTCTGAGCAAGGCCTGGCGCAATAAATCGGCTGTGTTCGGCCTTGGTATGACATTATTCAGTCTCCTCTGAATTTCATCCCAAAGATGTTCAATTGGGTTTAAATCAGGACTAAGGGCTGGCCACTGCATCATGTTGACACCGTTCTGCTGTAGGAAGTCTCGTGTAGCTCTTGCAGTGTGGGCCCGGGCGTTATCATGCTGGGAAATGTTGTTCCAGTGACGTACGAAATGTGGTATGACATGG